CTTTTAATTAGTGCAACTCTTGTTTCATTGTTCAAATTCTCTCATTGAGAACAAAGGGGGCAAATTTCCCAATAGATTCCATTTTATTTTGATATTTAAAAAAAGTTCCATGTATTTTATATTTTAAATTTCCCAATCGATTCCATTTTATTTTGACATTTAAAAAAAGTTCCATGTATTTTATATTTTATCATTCAGTCCCATTTTAGGAGAATATAATGTGTAATTTATTTTTTATGTCTTTATCTATACATCGAATTAAACTCAATTTTGGTACAATTATTCTCCTCACTATCATGCACCTTAAAAAATGTTATAAAAATTAAAGTAAATAAAAGAATCAAATTACCCATGAAGAGTATAGAGGTAGTCCGATAATTTTATTTATTTAAAATTTTAAATATTTTTATAGGTGCATAATAGTAAGAATTATAGACGTACCAAATATAAGCTTAATCCAATATATATATAAAAAGAATAAAATTAAAGAAAAATTTCATATAAGGTTGAGGTCCTAAACAATCAAACTAAGGTACACCTCAAAAATTCTCTAGAAGTTGTTTTGATGCCGAAAAACCCTCAAATCTGATCATTTCGACTTTGAAACACGTGAACATAAAAAAAAGAAAAAGAAGGAACTTCGAGTCTTAAGAAAAAAGCATCTTGTAATGCATTATTAAGACCATTAATTTTCAAGATTTTCAAGGGTTCATAGATTTGCTTGATCTACACTATTTTTTAAACTTTAAATTTTATAATTAGAAATGAAAATAAAATTTCAAGCTATTAAAACAATATTCGATACTATTTGAAGGTGTCTTACTTTGATTGTTTAGAGCCTCGCCCTTACACAAACCGCACCCAAAATTAAGATGCACTTTTATGTTATAAAAGAGGACTTAATTATAAAGGGTAAAGTGTTATATGCATCGGAAATGCATTCATGTTAAAGATTATATACACCTTAAAAATTAGAGCCAAAATCCATTTAAAAAATAGATTAGTAAGAGGTAGGGCATTCCGAGGAGCTATAGAAACGTGTCCATTATAAAATAGAAAATATATGATGTTACAAAAATACCACAATCACTATTAGTCATTAGATGTCAAATTAGATTGTTTAAAATATGAACTTTGACTCTAATAATTGATTGACTTACAACCACTCAATTTAGAATCTAATGTACAATAGTGACTTTGATCTCCTTGTATTAAATAAGGGAAAGTATATAATAAGACCATTTACCTTTAGTACAAGGTGGTCACAATTGATCTTGACCATTGATGTAAAATTGGGTGGCTGCATTTATTTCATCGACCAAGCTCAAAATTCAAAATAAACTTTCTCGAACTTTATGACACATCCAAGCTATCAGATTTCAAATCACTTTGTTGTAAGTAATTGTGACATTCCTATACAAAAGGTAAATAGTCTCATTGTATACAATCCCTTAAAAGTATAAAAAAGTATACAATGAGATCATTTATATTTAGTACAAGGTAGTCACAATTAATATTGACCATTAGATGTGAAATTAGATGATTACATTTATCCCATTGACCAAAGTCAAAACTCAAAAGAAATTTTTTCGAACTTTATAACATACCCAACTATTAGATTTCATATCAGATGGTTATAAATAATTATGACCTCATTGTATCTAAAGTAAATAATCTTATTATATATATATATATATATATATATATATATATATATATATATATATATAGTATAGTA